TATATCCTTTAATTTCTAATTACTTTCAGACTAGATCAGTTAATTGTAATTTATTTATAATTATTGAAAGTAATTATGTCAGCATAAAATTTTCTTTCCAGTCTTTCATCCTAGATGGATATATCAGAAGAAGAGTTGCCGACGCCACCGAGTGCTGTGCCAAAACCTCTCGTTTCCACTACATGGAGATAGAAGACGAGATCGCCAACACGCCAGAATGGCCGCCCATTTCCAGAGAGAAGTCTGATCTTGCACAACTTCTACGAGACGAGAGCAACCTTGAGGCCATAGTACAGAGGAATAACAGTAGGAAAGAGAGTGAAAACAGCGATAGCAGTGCAACTATAACCTCCATCGACGTCATCCCAGGAAGTGATTCCTATAAAGGAACCAAGCAGCTCACCACAGACGACAGACCCAAGAGTCTCCATGACATTCATCGTCGTGAACACGGACATACCCCTAGAAGGCGCCACTTGTCAGAAAGCCTTCGTTACACCAGACCAAGTGACTTTCCCCACACTGACAAGGAAGACTTACCAATCAGTCAGAAAAAAGGATTCCATGACCTTGACCTCATTGAAGGTGGCAAGCAAGTGCTGCCTCCTGCCGGTGACCATGTTTCCTATGACGTCAGCAAGGAGAATCCATCCGACTACTTCACTGTTGAAGTGGAGGAGAAAGAGCTTCTGGAAGAGAACTCTAATTTGTAGCCAATCCCAGTGGTGTCTGAAGGTTGAATTTATTCTATTTATGATGAAAAGCACAACAGTTTATTTATAGTATATACTAGTATGAACAACTTCTGAAAAGGAGTCTGATCTCTTGACAAATTCACCAGTAATTTTTTTTTTTTGAGTAATGATCTAGTAAATTTTATTTATCAGTTTGATCCTGATTATTACAGATCTTCACTTGGAGATAATTAAGATAGCTAGATGAGTCAAATAGTACCAAATTTTCTGCCAATAAAGCACGGGTAGATAGTGCATACCATCAGAAGCAAGTGAATAACCCACTTGTTTTCCTCACCATTCAAGAATCTAAACTAGTAGAATCTGAAATATATTTAACAGAGAACAAGGAGATAAGAATTTTCTGTATTAAAACAATAATAGAATGCAATAATAAATGTGTTTGGTTCTAGCTTTAATTGTGAAATTTAAGGATACTAAATGCCATATGATTTTGACAGTCTCTTTAAATATATAATCCAGTTATGTGTGCCAGTTTCATTCATCCTGAGTTGAAATAAGTATTAACTTCAGGTTTATAACAGTAGAGCTGATACAACAATGTAAGCAAAAAGAATACACACTACTGTTTAATTCCAATATAAATAATTAGATGACTATTTATTTACTTAACAACAGTGTACCTAAGTCGCAAAGTATGCCATCAACTTTATATGCATTACTGGAATGTATTTATAAAGGCCAGTACATGTGCTGCTCATTATTTGGTAAGACGGAAAAAGAAGTTTGAGTCAAGAATTTTTAAGTCAGAAGTCTAAGGCTGTATTCCCTGAGCTTTTAGATCGATCTATCCCCTTGGGGAGTCTCACTAGATTACTGTCAGATAATCCGGCTTAAACGTCTGTCCCGCCTACTACAAGCTGTAAGGGGGTAATTAACTTTCGTGTCAGCTTGGCTGACAGCTATTTAGCGTGAACTCCCAGGGAGTTAGGTCGATCTAAAGTAGATCGATCTAATCTCTGGAAATGGGGTCTAAACCTGCCCTCTGATATTTCTGCATGTTGCTGTAATATTAGTTTCTAGCATGACCATAAGAGGGCAGCATTGCCTCCAGTGTAACAGAGAGAAATAATTGTAGAAGATTGCCAGCTGTTCTGATTATTAATTAGGTGATGAAAAATGCCAAATGTGGAATTCAATATGTAGAAAAAATATTAGGTCAGATGTTTCAAATCTTATGGCAAAGGTCAGATATCTTGGTAAAGGTCAAATGCCAAAATTAGATCATAAATTGATCAAAGATAAAGACTTGGGTGAACATATATGTAGTTGGTGTCTTAACTGTATCATATTTTGTATTGTTAAATTATTTGTGGGCTTATCAAGGCTAGTTGGCACTTATTGAGTCAGCCTCGGTGTTGGGCCTGTCTTGCAGTGTCGTCTGCCAGTCTTTGGTTTCTTCTGCGTGGGAACTAGATTTCGGACGGTAAAGTACAAAGTGCAAAATAAGAATGGTAATGTCCATATCAGACCACTTCAATAGCAAATACCACTGTTATTGGATGTTATACATCTTCTCTGCAAGACCAAGAATTATAAATATGGACCAAACGTTTTCTTTTTTATTAGTGACTTAATTCCCCATTTGTACTTTGTGCAATGCAAGCTAATGTATCCAAGCTTTAATATGTATTTTTGTTGGCTTTGTTATTGGTTTTGGTCACTAAATATTTTTTTCATGATAAGAAAATGCCAGTGTTAAGTTTTCTTTTCTTTTATTATATTTTCTTTTTATGTTTTTTTTTTCTTTGCTTCCCTGATTTTATAGTTTTAATTTTTTTCCGCGTTATCTATATATAGTCTATGCATCATGATTTTGAGAAGTTACCGTCCTCTTTTAATTTAAGCTTATTGATAATATAGATGTATTAAGCAGGATAGCTTTCACATTTTCCTCCATGACAGCCTTCGTCCCCGATTGTTAACAGCGGGGCTGGCAGAGTTGAACAATTGCGGTGGTGTGTCTCTGTCTAGGGTGCATGGTCCATGAATGTATGGACGTCCGTGTGTTGCGTTGTGTTGTGTTGCGTTGCGTTGCGTTGTGTTGTTGCGTTGTGTTCTAAGACTCTCTCATATCGAGGAAAACCTGAGCTAGTTAACATCTGTTTAAATTACGTCAAAGTTATGAAATCTTCGCCATTGAAAGGAGAAGTCATAAAATGACTTCGTATGAAATTATTTCGATTGTATAAGCTTTTTACCGTTGTGCTAGTCAAGGGTTTTTGATTATTTATTCGCACTTTAGCGAATCGTATTTATTAATTATTCAATTATTGAATTATTGTCAGTTATTAAAGTCATCATTATCACCGGTAGTATTCGATAACGTGTTTGTTTTGATGCCAGTACTGTCGACTGCAGCCCTACATCTAGAAGAAGTACGTGAAATAAACTTTTTTATCAAAATGTGACAGGTTTTTACTCGCTCCTTTTCACAGTACGGTGTAGGCTCCTCTCCCCGGGTCTAAGACGTCACTGGAGACTACTCACCATACTACCCAGAACTACTTGATACTACTAAGGCCGCTCCCGGTAGCTCAGAGACGTACGAAAATAATAAGAATACTATGGGGTTGATGTTATAGATGGTGAGCATTCATTGAGTTTTGAAACCCGGTAATATTGCTTGGCCCCTGAAATTTAGTATCAAAATAATCACTGGTCAAGACCGAAGGACGAAGTACTGTCGTAAGTGTAATCACATTTGGTAAAGTGACATTATAATATTGACAATATTCGTTAAGAGCGGAAAATATACTCGTTCAACGTAAAAATTAAAAGTGATGATCGCCTCTAAGCTCATAGACAAATGCAGACTACGTGTTGCACCCGTGCCCGTTGCTCAGTGTTAGAAATACACCCGTTTTATGTTGGAACATTGAGGTTTGGTGCACACCATTCTTTATTTATTTAATGTTAAGTGATACAAATGTCAACATTATGTAGATCTTCAGAGCGACGTGAAATGGCTACCAGATTTTGTTAGGTCTGCGAGGTCTTGAATTAGCAAAGAGTCGTAAATAGATATTCGTTTGAGTACGGGAGCATTTTCCCACTATACACTCATTCTTTAAATTAACCAGAAAATGTTTTATATACACCTGAAAAAAAAAAAATGTCTTTTGGCACGCAAAAATCGCCTTGGGTTTTAGACAAATCTGAAAGCTAGCTTCAATCATCAGCATGTGATTTCTAGAAATCTAAAAAATGGGGGTAGGGTGGATGGGAGAGTCCAGAAACTTCTGAATTTCGGGATGGAATTAAACAAATTCTAATCAATATAATTATTGAAATATTCTGCTAGGCTTACTCCAACAGATAGAAGAGACAGAGAAGAGCAGTTAACAGACGCACAGCACAGGATGCAGTGTTAGTTCTCGCCACATGTATTAATTCAATATTCCTACGCTGAAGGGGTTAGAAAAACACGATCATTGATGTTGACCTGTGATTTGGGTTTGCTTGTGTTTTCATGTTCCAGCGACACAACTGTACCTAGTCTCAAACTCAGAACTATATATTGATATCAACTTGCAGATAGATTTTCAAAAAGATTTTCTTCGCTCAGTTCCATGATCCACAGAGGATTCAGGGGAGGACAAAACGGACACCTGTTCCTCCCTGAGCGGAGGTAGGCCTACCCCCTGCTTCCCTCTCTCCTCTCTTACCAAACTTCCCACAATTATCGCCCCCTTGGACATCCAACCCTTCCCCCTAACTCCCACCCCCTTAAAAAATAAATAAAAAAATAGGAAAAATGGATCAGCAAATATCTGCACTCTCATTCTGTCTGGTAGAGATATCATCATTATTATAATTATCATTTATTTATTTATTTATTTATTTTTAGTGTCGGTTTTTCTGTTTACACATGAACATGCACAACCCTTTGTATCTCCTGATCCCGCCAGTGTGTGTCGAGTAGGCCTATCTGCTATTTAAACTGAATGAAAGCTATAGGCCCTGTAGGCCTATATATATAGGCCTATACATTTCACCAAAAATCACTTCCAGAATTAAATATATGTGATAGCACTATACACCCCAGTCTAGCACTGAACACCTACGTAAATTATATTCAATTAAAACTGGCCCACAATTTGAACGAGTTTTATATTGGACCAGTCTTACAAACAGGGCGTGGCTACAGTTAGAGCGTGTTGCGTGGGTGTGGCGCTCTCATTGTTGTCAACTATGAGTAACTTCCACACGGGCAGGCAAAACTGAGATTAAAAATATAGTCTCGGACTAAAAGCGGAACTACGTGTACAAGCCACCTCTGGCAGAGTTCATGTGGCTGTAATTGAGACTTTCCACGCAAGCAGAATCGTCTGGAACCTCTGAACTAAGCTGACACAATTTATTTTTAGCCAATCAGAGAGCGAGGTGATAATCAACTGCGGAGGAGTTAGGAGAGTTAATGCACGCAGCAACATGGCGTTGATCAGTAGGCTCTTTATGGTGTGTCTGCCGATTTTCTTTGTTTTCTTCCCACCATGGAGTTCGCCTAGCATTGGAGTTCACTCATCGAGCGTGGATGATGGTACGTATATACTGTTAGTTTCATACGATCGTGCTTTACTCATGGATGGAAGAAAACGCGAAGTTTAGAAGTGCCCCGATTGAGTTCTGCGTACGTGCAAAACAGCAAACTTTTTCAAAGTCGCGAGAAATCCGATCCACTTGATCCAAACTTGCGGACCAGAACTAGAAGGATGGATTTCAACCCGTTTGCATTTTTGTAGGATTTGAATTAAAATTCTTACTATAACTTTAAAGTTAGTTTAAATGTAATTAGAAAGTAGTTTTTAAAGTTTCGTGCCGGTGGCGTTGTGGTTTGACAGATGCAAATGAGCTAGACGGATATAATTGATAACCGGTTGGCCTCAGTTAGCCATAGTTGTAAAATATCTCCAAATATGTAGCTTCTCTTGTGGTGAATGACTTTTTAAACTCAAGTACAGACATTCTGACCCAAGGCAAAAAGAAAATATAGAATGGAGACAAAAAAAGTTATTTGTAAGATTGATAACAATTAAGGATTGACAATAACTTTTTTCGATACTGAGATATGCCTGAGATATCTGTAAATATTGCAAGGGTTATTTGGCACATGACATTTTACTTGCTCTTTGGGCCAATGACCCCAGCGATTCAATGGCCCTAGGTCAGTTTTCAGTGGCCCCGGGCCAGTGGGCCACCCTTAATGTCAACGCCCTGGATCATAAGATAAATGGTTAAAGGGGGCTGGATAAAAGCAATTTACTGTGGGGGAAAGATTAAGATGTGATAGTGAATGTGGTTTTAGACTTTACTTGGCAAGTGAGTGTAGTATTTGATACTGTTGGCTAGTTTAGTTCTTAATTTACACATTTACAGCTAATAACAACAAACGGTTGTGCAGGGGGCAGTTCCACAAAGGAATTTGATTAATTTTCAATCTTTTATTCTCGGGTGAAATGGCCCCCAGGTTAAGTGAGTTTTATATGGAGGAGGAGGAGGGTGGGACTGTGTGGTATTATAACAAGGCTGTTGTTCAGTTATAACCAGTTTATGTGGTCAGGTGGGAGGTAATCCTTCTTGTTGTTGTAGTGTTAATCTAAGAAGTAAACACTGAGGGCAGAAGACAGTTGATGTAATACAGGGTTTCCTTCAGGGCAAGTTTTGAGCCCTTTAGAACCGCCCTCTCAAAGATTGTAAATGGCCCTGATTCATATTTTTGTCTTTTTGCCCTGTAATGCTTCTTACCTGTTTCCACTCACACCTTTAACAAAATTAAACTGCTCAAATAAAATGACCTGATGTCAGTATCCCCCCTCCTCTAAAATTTGAGGAAAACCTAGTAGGCTGGATGAGGCATTTGAATTTATTTTCTTAAGATGTGATACAAATCATCAAAATCAACTGCAGGAATAGGTCAGGTAATAATTCATGAGTAGGGGGATTTTTTTTCTTCCACACAAATTAGATTTTAATTTTATACAAAAAATCTCAACCAGCATGGCTTGTATTAGTTTGCATGGAAATCAATGGATTGTGCAATGCTCCATTTCAACAAGCAACAACATGCGTGAAACTGAATGCAGAATAGAGCATAGTGAGCCCTATTTTACTGCTTGAGTACTTTGTGTTTTTTGTCAGTTAAAACTCTCATCGTGAAACTCAGGGACTTGTACTCATTTTTTTCCATCAAGACCCTAAGATAACCCCAGCAGCTAATGTAGTAAAAACCACATCTTTAACCAGTGGATTGTTCTAGATGTAAACATTGTAGCAAATTGATGATTATCATTTAAATTCTGAAGACATTTTAAGCATGTGATTGTATTTAAAATGCTGGGGCAGAAAGCAGGATGACTTTGTTTATTATGTAAATTCAGTGTAAATAGTTTATTTATTTACTTACTTGATGCAAAATGTTAATACAGTGGTGAAATGATGGTAGACATTAACATTCTGATGGCTTACTTAATAGTCCATTTATTTCATTGGATTGTTTTTCTCTGCAGGTACTTTTTTTTTTTTGCATCTCAGTTTCAGGAGACACTGTCTGTACTAATATAATCACGTAGTAGTACTTTAATAAAAATCCACTGTTAATTCATGTTTTGGTGTGGTATGTTACTAGTAAGGATCTGTTTTAAATCAAGTAGTCTGCATTAAACCCTCATTAAGGGATATATGTGGAGTTTACAGTTCTATCCTATCCCAACTGTACAGCAGATAAAAATCTGAGATCAGATGATAGGGTGAGTTCCCAGTCAAGTTGAAGCAGTTTATCTTAGAGCATTCTGTGTTAACATACAGTGTAGTAAAGATAAAAATCAGATAGATTAGATGGTCTGATACCAGATTACAAGATAGGTTCACATTCAAGCTGAGACAGTTTAACTTAAGGCATCTGAGCAGATGATGGTTTGGCAGTCCCACCACCTCCTGAGCAAATGATGGTTTGGCGTTCTCATCACCAAAAACTTTTTAAGCCGACTGACCTGTCTGTCCACCAGGGTCTGAGACTTTGTTCCCATACCTAGATCGACCCAGAGTTAGTACGATAGGGTCTGGGAATGGTCCCTTAGAATCTGCTAGACTAATGCTTAAAACAATGGCCAGTAACTGAGCAAACTGAAAAAAAAACTTTACTGGCCTGGTTCTTATTTTACGGGAACTTCATGTGGATCCAGTGGTTAGTGTCTGAGACCGATTTTATATCACAGTGGTAGTGGTGGTGGAGGAGTGGACTAGATTGGCTTCATGTGGTTTGAAATCCAAATCACATGGTTTGTCCACATAGAGTCACGTATTAATGTGATTTGTCTCAAGTGGAAACTTGACTGCTATTGTTTTAACAGTAATAGGTCAGTTGAAGGTGCATTCCTCTGTCTGTATACTTTATATACATACAAGTTCCAGTGTGGAATAAGAATTCTGTGGAATTTCTCTTAAAGTTGAATTTAGCCATGAACATGTTTCATGAAAGAAGGGAAATTGTTGTAAACCTTTAGACCCAAGTTTGAGTCTACTAAGACCACAGGTAAACCAGTAGTACTAGTAACCAGTTCAAATCAAATGTTGCTCTTGATTTAAGAGAAGAAAGCCACAGCCAAAGGTTGAGACCAGTATGTTATTTATTTAAGTAGGATTAATCTTGACCTGAAGTAGTCGGAAACTGCCAAAGTTCTATTTTGAGAAAAAAAAAAGTCCTGTGTCTGTTTATTTCAATTCTGTTAATGTTATTGGTTAACTCTAACACAATAACACATATTTTACACGATTTAAGTATTTTGAATCCTGCCGTTTTCCCACCTCTAACTGTTGATTGATACATAAAGTCTAGTAATGTAGGCAACCCTAGCCTGCTGTAATATCATAATGCATTGCATATAAGCTACCAGGGTAGCTGACTTCCTGATAGCAGTCTAATCTCTAAGCCAGATCGCCTTTACTGTACATTATGGTAATTGCTCTATTAATTTAAATTGATGTAAATTAATAACCCACCAGGTTTTGTTAGTGATATTTTAACATGCTGATGTAATCATTTTGAAAAGTGAGGTGGCTTCATGTGAGTATGTGCAATTTTGTGAGTGTTTAAAGATGATGTATTTTGAAAAGTAAAAAGTGGGTGAGAAATGTGAGATTTTAATTGATAACATTAAGGTTGCCTGAGGTAAGATGGGATAGAATGAATCCTGGTGGAAAAAGTTTTCAGCAGTAAATGTTAAAACTGCAGCCTTGGGACAAGGTTAAAATGTCAGCTGCAGTAAAAGTGGTAAATGGCATAAACTTTGGCCATATACTGGATTGACTTTCATAAATTGTTTTTCCACCTGCACCCATTTTAAAACCCAAAATATGTCTCTAGCAGTGGACCAATTGGGTTCAATTTTTTTTTTCAGTCTTTGACCTTGTGAAAGTACCAGAGCTGCCATATCTTATGGCAGTTATGCTTAAATTGCACTTCTTAAAAAATTTACAAATTACGAACAACTTTTGATGTAATAAAAGGGGTGTTTTCTGCATAAAATATTTAAAAATACAGGATCTAATTTAATATACAGTATTTATGTCAATTTATACACTAATCCATATATATTGACCAAAAGTTTTAAAACATTATTATGGTAAGAAAATGTCCAATCCACACACACACACACACACACACACACACACACACACATATATGTGTATTGCAGGCTCTTGACATCATAGATTTTGATTGAAAAAGACATCCATGACAAATTGTAATGTCTCATTCTTTTTTCTTATTTTTTTATCGGATCGAGAGGAATGCTATGAATTAATAGAAAAAGAAATCTCCTCCCTTATCAATTGATACTGCTGCACTAAATTATGTAAAACAACTTATGAGATTTCTGTAGGGAAGACAGTGACAGTGCCCTATCTCCCATCAAATTATACACTGTAAAATGTTGAAAGAATCAGGGCAGCAAATATAGTAGAAAATTATCTTGTCGGGACTTTAATGTCATGTTATTAGTTACTTATTTGATTCCTGTCTGGGTGAAACGAGTGCTCTGTCATGTAGCAAGTTAAGATGGTAAAAAAGTACGGTCACCTTGAAAGGAGAGGTTTTTTAAGTTAAGGGTGTGTGTGTGCATGTGTGTGTGCATGTGTGTGTGTGTGTGTTTGTAGAGGGGAGAGGGAGTCATAAATTCCACTTCAGGCCACGTATAGGAAATATTGATGTGAATTACTTAAATGTTTTTGTATTTTTATTTTAATGCAGACAGCAAAGAGCATGATGTCTGTGAAGAGACAGAGTACTAGTAAGGGGTAGGCAACTAAACCAAATGCTGGGAGGGACATTTAATTACTTTTTGTCCTGGAGAAATTAAAATGTGCATTTTGTCAAATGACCCAAAGCAACAACTCACCATTTCAACATTGATTTTTTTTCAGAGTGGCATTTTCAGTTGAACTTTTTTAAAAAAAGAAAGAGGCTTTTATTAGCTTTCCATCATGATCTCATCATTTACATAGAACTCTTAGACTAGACTCAGCATTAAATAAAGACACTTTTATTCTGAGCCCTGCCATTAGGAACAGAGTGATAAATTAAGTGCCGCATGAAAAATAATGCCCTATTATGTTATCATTGTATTAAGTTGGTACAGTTAGATCTGTAGAATCTTCCATGCTGAGTACATGTGATAACCCATTGGTAAATTGAGACAGATCAGGAAATATTGCACTTAGTAGAAAATAAACTCTTCCTCATTGTAACAAAAACCTTGTGTAAGTTAACATTATTACTGGTTGTTACTGAATGTTTATTAAATTTGAACAAAATTAATGAGTGATAATCTTTAAAATAGTCTGTTGTTAATTATGGGCATAATTGTTGACTTAGAATTTTGAAAAGTGAGGTACTGGGATGAAAGAGATTTAGTAAAAGATTGTCACATTAGAAGAATGCAAGTTTTGATTCTTGCACTCTTGCATACTGTCAGTAGACATGTATGGAAGTGAAATTTACTGATGGAGTCCATGTTTTTTAACATAACACAGTCCAAGTCACCGAAGCCCAGAAAATTCTATGGAGAAAACAATGAACATGTACCCCCAGTAGGAGTACATGCTAATGTTACATGTTATACATCAGGCTTCTCTTATAATGCTAAGTCAAGATTGTAGGAATTTTCCATCCATTTTCAACTTGTTTAAAGGCAATTGGAAAATGGTGTGCATGAAGCTTGCATGATGTGACTTGTCAGTGTGAATAAAAGGAAAGTTCCAGAGTTTTTTTTTTTTATCCTCAGAGCAGCTGAAACTATTGTCCCTTGTCTAGAAATTCAACAGTATATCATGGTTAAGTATCTTGCTACTAAAGGAACATAAAAAACATACAATAGACTTTGACTCAAATCCTCAGCTAGACAACTCATTTTATTGTAGCCAAATCAGAGTGTGGAATGAAATTAAGAATAAATGTTTTCAGTCAAAGACCAGCTTTTAGATTCACAGTGTTTTATGAAACCAGCCCACATTGTTATTGTAGTATGTATCTGGTACTACACTGGTACAGAATTACAGCCACATTCCTAGCTATGCCTGAGGACCTCCATACCCTGAAGCTATGTGGCATATGACTAGTGTTTGATTTGATGCATGAGAACAGATGAATATTGATAAAGGATTGTGATCTAGTCCAGAATGGTAATAGATGAAAGCCACAATGTTGTACTACTTTAACTGTTTACTAGTATATTTCTTTTTATATCAACAATATATTGCAGAAACGAAATGCTCTTCAGTAACGTTTATATAATTGTAGATTTCATTTGTATTTTCACCCTTCATCCAATTTATGAATATTAATTGCAAAGAAAAGTATATACTACAATTTATTACTAGTATTAAGGTGCAAAGTTCTACAAACATATGTTCATTCACACACACATGCACGCACACACACACACTTAATTACCATAGATGTATATGTATCATGCTACAGGAGACATATAAAAAATAACCATTTAGATAATAAATAAAGTATTTTATTATAGAATGATATACTAATATTCACTAATAAACATATTCAAGATATTGACATTGTCTTCTCCTTACAGGCCTCCTGCTGGTCACTGTGGCCTCAGACGAGACTGATGGATTCAAGAGGTACATGAGGTCAGCAAACAAGTATGGACTGGATGTGGAGGTTAGTTTTTACCCCCCCCCCCCCCCCCATTCTCCTCTCTCCCCTTTTATATCTCAGTCACTAGGTGCACACACACGCACACGTACACACATGCACACCACGTGCACACACACACACACATCCTTTAAGTTGTAATTGGTGGTAGTAATACCGGGTTAAAATGAACCTGTTTGATGTGGGGAGATGAGCTATTTCCTCTAAAATCAGTGTTTGGGAATTAAGCCAGACTATTTAAGGGTATGCTCTGTGTGACCTTTAACTGAGTAAACACTTTTCTACAGACTACTAATTCACAGGGCCTCCACTGCCCAATAGCGAAATACTTCACTAGCAGGAGCCTGGATTTGTCCCTTTTCCCCTTAATCAGTTAAGATAATGACGCAAGAGTTACAGAATATAAAAGTAAATTCTATCTTGAACAATAGGGCATTGTGTAGAATTTTTTTTCCTTCTGTTCTGACATACCACAGCCTAATGTTAGGTGAACTTTAAAAAGGAAATAGTTTTTTAGTGAGACGTGGGTCGGTTGACTGGAGTTATGTATAGGAAGGAAGCTGTAAGGCAATGCAGACTTTATAGTTATTGTTCAGTCTGCATCACATTGGAATTGGATTTTTATTCATAATCCTTCCCGACATTAAATTGAAGAAAATGAAAAATTGCTGCATATTGGACAGTGGGCGTATTTTTGTCACATGGCTTAGTTGCCATTCCCATGTGATTTATGTTTAGCTCAAAGAAAAAAAGAAAAAAAAATTGTGATAATAATCTTGTCATATATTTTCCCCAAAACCCTATGATAATAATTATGATGAAATTGATTATATAACAACAACAGCAATAATAATAATAATGATAATAATAATAATAATAATATCAATAAAAACAATTGTAATAATAATTAATAATGATGATGATGATTATTACCTCTAGGTGTTAGGTATGGGGAAAGAGTGGAGAGGCGGAGACATGGCAGTGTCCGTTGGTGGTGGGTACAAGATCAACCTCCTGAAAGAAGGCTTGAAGAAATACAAGGATAAGAAGGACCTGGTGCTTATGTTTACTGACAGGTATGGATACTATGATTTGGTGTTGATGATTTTATAATAACTTGCATTGAGAAAAATTAGGCCACTTATTCAGCTTTTAGTAATTGTTTTATTTTTCTGAACCTTATGTGAATGGTGATCATGCTTTTATAAAAAAAAAAATAATTTTTGATTTCTGGTTTTACACTTGCGTGGGATACCCTATAAAATGGCCTGCAGTTAAGTAATTATAACTGAAGATTCATGTCATTTTTCTCTTCACAGCTATGACGTGATTTTTACTGGTGGAGCTCAGGAAATCTTGAAAATGTTTAAAAAGTTCAATGCCAGAGTGGTATTTTCTGCGGAGGGTTTCTGCTGGCCGGACGCCTCTCTTATGGTAAGGACTTAATGCAGAACCTTGATTGATTGTATTACATGATGTAGATAACACATTGCGTCTGTGACTGGGTTCCCATGCCTAGATTGATCCATCTGGATCGGTGAAACTCCCGAATCAGCTAGGGGGTAAAGATGATGGATGTGACGGACATTTAAGTTGTTTAAGTTGATAGCAATTTAGTGAGACTCCCCAGGGAGATGGATCAATCCAAAAATCTGTGGGAATGGTCCCTATCACCCACACACTATGCCAGCCATTGGGCTCATGATGATTTAGGGACGGTTCCCAATGAAAATATTATTCCATGTAGATCGATCCAACTCTGCAGGGACTCTTGCTGAATGCAATCAGATAACCTAAATATCCTCTCTCCTTCAGAAGCTCGCCCATTCACTATTCTCTTTGTGAGCAAGGTGTGATTAACTGTCCTGTGTGCTTTACTTCTGGAAGCTGTTTCACTTCATTTTGAGTGCAACCAAACATGCACAAATATTTTTCACCCTATTGCTGCTCAAGGTGTGTCATTCAGTTAATCTGACTGCATTCAGCAAGAGTCCCCATGAAGTTGGATCGATCTATGTAAATCAAAAGTTTCACTGGGAGTGTGCCCCTAGGAAGCATCCAAAAGTGCAGTTATCAAATTAATATACTAAACATCAAATGTAGGTAATCTGTGATTGCTGGGAATTTATCAGAGAAAAGGTCCTAATGTTATGTTCTTCTTCCAGGACAAATACCCAGAAGTGAAGATGAACGAGAAAAGATTTTTGAACTCAGGAGGTAACTTTTCTACAACATTTCTGACTAAATAACCTGGAAATTACATGGATTTTTCTAGTACAAAGAGCCTCTCATATTCCTTATACATGTTTTTGTATAATGGGATAATTTTATTCTCTTAATTACGAATAACAAGCTTTGATTTATATATCATCATTGATCAGTATTACGAGTACCCTTGAAATTTTACAGTTGGTGTCATATTTCTAGGATTACTGGTATTTCTAGTATTTGTGACATAATACTGTTTTATTTCTAGGATATATAGGTTACGCCCCTGACATTTACGAGATCATCACCCACAATGAAGTTGGAGACAAGGATGATGACCAGCTGGTTTATACAAACATCTTCTTGGATGAAAACCTCAGGGTGAGATGGGATAGGATTGACTAGGGACTTGTTAAAAATGTGCTTTATTTCTGTTAAAGGTGACATCAGAATAATCCAATGAAAACATCAGACCTATACAATGCTGCTTTTGTGTTGTCTATAGATCAAATTAAATGAGACTTGTGTAATTTGTTATTATTTATCAATTTAGTTATTGATTAACTGAAGCCAATATTATGAATTAATAAGTGAATTTATCTTGTAAAAATTATTTTAATATAGAAAAAATGGAATATCAAGTTAGACACCAGAGGAGAGATTTTCCAGAATTTAAATGGAGCTCTGGGTAATTATAAGACAAAGCATGGGAATTTATTTAGTGGAAGAAACTAAAACACATTTTGTCTGTCATGTTTCACTTAGTATGTATCACATTATGAACTTAATTTGATTAAAATTAAATTAAATTAAAAAGACATGAAAATGTAGAATAGTCACAATAGGTATATATAAACAATTTAAGTGTGATAAAAGGAATCGAGCCAGCTGTCAGTGTAGACACTCATGTACAACAGAATATAAAACTGTTTGTTCCTGTCTGTAGATGAAGTGACGCTCAAGTTCAAAGGTGCCAACAGTTACCTGTACAATGTGAAGACAGGTACCACGCCACTTGTGGTTCACGGCAATGGACCCATTAAGGTGAGATTTACTTGGATTAAGAAGTGTTAAAGCTGTTAAGTAGTCCTATTAATGATAAATTATCTTAAGTGAACTATATGCTGGAGTGTTTAAACAATTTCATTTGATCTTTGAATTAAATTTATACCTCATAAAAAGAATAATTTTCAGTCGTATTTAAATAAGTTCATTAGAAATTCCACAAAAAATGAACTGCAAGGTGTAATTGATAATACTTATTATTATATTTAAAACTTTTTCATATTTTGTTTAACCCTTCAATGTCAGCAGTTTTACTGTATTTTCAAGACAAAAGTGACACAATATACCACAATGATGTTGTTATTTTCAGGGAAATTTGTGCATGCCCTGTAATACTTACTGCTTTTGATTAGGGGAGTGAATTCCCATTTTTAATGAAAAAAAGTTAACTTCAAGGACTGTGCATGACATACCTCACCTCCATTTTGGCAGCAAAGCGCAAAGACTGATGGGAGTTTTGACCTTGACCTACATGGACTGACCTTAACCTTGCTTGACCTTTGATTTCAGCACAGGCTGGATGGGCTGGGGAACTACCTGGCCGACTCCTGGACACCCACCCATGGCTGTCTTGCATGTAAAGAAGATTATATCAATCTAGGCACATTCAAGGTAGAAATGCTGCTGTATAGGGTGTAGTTCATGGTGATAACAGCATGTTTTTAATACCTAGTGCCTCGCATTAGCCCAACTTGTGTGCGTGTGGCTGCTTGAAATTCTATCACCTGTAAAGGCCAAGCAGACTTTCATAGCTGCACAATTGCTTTTAATATGCTTTTTCCTGGATCTTGCATGCCCTTTACTTTCTTTTAACAATAGAGCCACATGGTGATTTTTGCCTCTGTTATTTTTTCTCTGTTTTTCTCATTTCTTTCTCTTCTTGGGATTTCTTTTTTGCTCATTTAGTTCAATAACACTAATAATGGAATATGATTTCTCTGCAATAATTTTCTATATGGTTGTCTCTATCTTAACCATTGCTTGTCTTAGTTTGCAGTCCAAAACCTTTTTCTTGTTGCAATTGTTCTCTTCACGTGGGTGTGGTCTGATTTTTTACTTTTAGCTTCCTTTCATTTTCCTGTTGATGATGATGGTTTCAGGTTAGGCTGGCAGTTGGATATGTTTGTCTTGAGTTGCTCTTGTCTTGTACTCTTTAGTATTTTCTTGTTCCTCCTCTCAGCCCCAGTTCAACACGTTGGGGAACTATTTGGCAGATTCTTGGACCCCCACTCAGGGCTGTCTTGCTTGTGGGGAGGACAAAATCAATCTTCAGGAGGTGGAGGTAATACTAGGTGGCAGCACTTGCTGGTGTTCTGTCTTCTTGGAAAGACAGGCCCAATCTGCAGAAGCTGGGTTTCTCCTAGATATAGCTGTCAAATGTGTATAGATTCTCAGGTTTTCCAATCAGTAACCATTCCATTCTCTATTCAGGAAGGAACTGACAAAAAAGTACTTACTATTAGCGGATTAAAGCACAGAAAAGTTTTTCTTCTCTTGCAAGTTTCACAAGCATACATAGCATAACATTTTTGAAGAACATTGTATTTGTAAATATATTGCAGTTCAAATGAATGTCTCATAATTTCTCTTATATATGTGTAGTTGTAATAATATCATTTGAAATTTATTTTAACTTGGAAATGAGCTAGAATTTTAAAATGGTGAAGCCTTAATTGTACGAAAAACAATTAAAGAGTATCAATTTTTTTATAATAGATTATTAACAATATATTTAATCCCCCCAGGAGCAGGATTACCCCACGGTATTTGTTGGTGTCTTCATTGACCAGCCCGTGCCTTTTATAGCCGAGTTCTTTGAGAAGCTTGCTGGGCAACAATACCCTAAGAAGAAAATGGATGTGTTTGTATACAACAATGTGAGTTTTTAGTTCAGTGATAATAAGGATGAAATCAGATTGAGAAGTTTGGATTCTTTCCAAATATTTTCAGTATACAGGTCTAAATCAGAACAACCTACTATTCTGGAGAACATCCATCTTTTTAACAGAATGATTGCAAGCTCCTGAGAGAAAGGATATTTTTCAAAATGAAATATGTATTTAACTTCTTTTCCTAGGCTAATTTCCATGCCAAAGATGTGAAGAACTTTATGATCAAGTATGAGAAGAAATACAACTCTTTCACTTCTGTTCCACCCGAGAGAGGGGTCAATGCATATGATGCCAGGAATATGGGCATGTGAGTGGATTTGAGAAAAATTTCCTCCAGTGCTAAGAAAATTAGGTCAAAATGTGACCACTTGGAAAAAAATGAATGGGAAGTGGTTTTGTTGTCTTTTGCTCCCTTTCATAAAAACAAAGTATTAATTTTTTTAATATAAGCTTGGGGGAGCGACCTATTTGCACATGATCAGGATTAAACTGGCTGAATTGTTTGTCACTGAATTTCCATCGCAACTTCAATATCTTCACACTTTTATTGTATTTCTTCTGGACAGTGTCATTATTTCTTTCTTTCATGTTCCAGTGATCATTGTTTGAAAAAGAACTGCCAGTATTACTTGTTTCTGGAGCCAGAGGCTCATCTTGACAACTCTAAGACATTACAACTGCTCATTGAACAGAACAGGTAGGCTCTTCTTGCACACATTATAGAGGACAACAAAACGATTTTGGCTATTTTCAGTTGATTACAAATCAACTTGGTATTTTAAATAATAAGGTCAGCTTTTCCAAGGCTCTTTTTTCAGGTTGCCTTTTGTTTCAGTATAATGTTGTGATTTTTTTTATTATAAAAAGAAAAAAGCAATAAATATTGAAAAGAGAAACTAAATGTCAGTATAATTATACCAAGTTGTTTCAAACAAAAGAAGTAGATATTCTTTGCCTTATGACCTTGAACTTTGACCCTTCAGGTCAGTCATCGCCCCCATGTTTACGCGGCCAGGCAAGCTGTGGTCTAACTTCTGGGGGTCACTCAGCAGTAACGGTTTCTACGCCCGGTCAGAAGATTACCTGGACATTGTGAACAGCCACAGGATGTAAGTGTTAGTGGTTACTCTGGTTGTGAGTCCATGGATATTGTGAAATTATGTAATTTAGAGAAAATTTGTTATTTTATCCCTCATCCCCCCAACAAAAGGTACGTTATATGGTGGATAAGGTAACTGTTACAATAAAAACATTATTTATAATGTAATAGAATTTAAAATTTATTAAAAGAAAATATATCTGTAAAAGCATAGCATTAACAGAATAGGTGCTTGAAAGTGCTTGATTAGTGAATATGTGTGTGTCAATGAGCATGTGTCGGTGGGGGTTGTGTATTATATTTATTGTTAATTTCTGAAATTTGATTGAATAAGTATGTTGTATTTCCAGAGGCTTGTGGAATGTCCCCTATGTACGCTATGTCTACCTGATCCAAGGAAACAAGATAAAACAGCTGCAGGGAGGATACAGGAATGACCACCTAGACCACGATATGGCCATCTGTAAGACCATGAGAGACAAGGTAGGCATAATAATAATAATAATAATAATAATAATGATAATAATGTTTAAAGATAAGGCAGGAAGAGAGAGAGAGCAGGCGGTGGTCTGGCAATATAACCAAGGATATTGGGTCGGAGTTAGATACAAGTCAGAAATGTTGGTCCACTTCAGTTCAGAATGAAACAATTATGTTTTGTATTATATTACTCAAGTTAAAACTCTAAAAAATCTCTTCAACAGTGAGATAATGAAATGCTGATAAGTCTTTGTTTATTTATTTTAGAACATGTTTATGTATGTGAGTAACCAGTTGAACTACGGCCATCTTATAGACGGTGATAACTATGACACAACGCGTACACACCCAGATATGTACGAGATGTTCAGCAACCCAATGGTGAGTGTGCTAGTGTGGTAGGTGTGACAGAGTGAATGTTTCATTGTGTTAGGTGTGACAAGATGGAATTCATTTTATTAGGTGTGACAGAATAGAACGTGCCATTCTTTTTAGGCATGAAATTTTAAAATGTATTGCTTGTTTACAAAAGGAGGCGGGGCTATTTGAAGTGTTACTAAATTTAAGCACTTCTTAGCCATGATTGTTACTTGAAAATTTTTTCATTCATATCCAGATTTATTCCATGTTAATATTTAGTCTATATTTTCTATATCTCTAGGACTGGGAGAAAAAATACATCCATGAAAACTACAGCCGAGTCTTGATGGAGGAATATGAAGTGGACATGGTAAAACTGGGACTGGAATTTTCTTTTTCATCCAGTGAACATCTATATATATAAAATCTAAGATTAAAAAAAAATGTGGACTTCTCAATTTAAAAAAATATGTATAAAAAAAAAAAAGAAAGAAATTGCTATCCTAGCCTTCCACATTAAGTCATGTTATGTATGCTATACAAATTGTGCTGCCATTTCAGCCATGTCACGTGTAGTGGTTCCTATTTCTGTACATATATTTATATACATATAAATCCATTGTGCTGCTATTTCAGCCGTGCCCTGACGTGTATTGGTTCCCAGTATTATCAGAAACATTCTGTCAACACCTGATAGAAGAGATGGAGGGGTTTGGCCAGTGGTCCAATGGCAAGAATGAGGTATGTGGCATTCAAACATTATTATAATGTCATTGTGTTAGATGTGACAGAATGGAATTCATTGTGCTGGGTGTGATAGAATAGACTGCGTCATTCAAAAAGTATTATATGCTCAATATAATAAGTGATATTATATTGAGCACAGAAATGTTTTAACATAAATATATATTCTCTAAGCCACTGTAGTGGTATTGTAGTAAAAAAAGTGTTATATGATATTATGTGTTCAATCAGCATTGGGACCTTGTTAATGTTGTGCTGTTGTATATTTAGGATTCTCGTCTAGATGGAGGCTACGAGAACGTACCAACACGTGATATCCACATGAACCAAGTGGGCTTTGAGCGACACTGGCTTCATTTCCTACGTGTGTACGTACAGCCGGTGCAGCAGAAGGTGTTTGTAGGATATTACCATGACGTGAGTAAATTTTGGTGAATTCTTTGAAAATAAGCACAAATATATGTCCAACTTTCAATACAAATTGTTTTAGTTAAAAATATTAATAGATATATCCGAATTTTAAATACAAATAATTATATTTTACAAATCTGATTTCTTACTGCCTTTTTCGTAGAAAATTGATGAAATTTTCAAAATGTGTTGCTTTTGTATGTCATAGTACACTTTCAGTATTTAATCTAAGAGCTTTTAATGTGACAGATTCAAAGATGCCATGTTCTGTTTACAAGTCTTATTCCCTGTAAAATTAGAAATGTAAGACTGTATGTAAAGATAACAAGACTTGGTAGAAATTGTAATATTATGGAATATTCTACATTTTCAGCCTCCACATGCAGTCATGAACTTTGTGGTCCGCTACAGGCCTGATGAACAACCAAGTCTACGTCCACATCATGATTCTTCAACATATACCATCAATATAGCTCTAAACACGCCTGGTGTTGATTATGAGGTATGTGCTGGAGTTTGGTAGATGTAGTGTGTTAGGTGTGATGGTGTGTTAGATGTGACAATGTGGTAGATGTGACAGTGTGTTAGATGTGACAGTGTGGTAGTTGTGACAATGTGGTAGTTGTGACAATGTGGTAGATGTGATAGTGTGTTAGGTGTGACGGTGTGTTAGATGTACATTGCCAGTTTCATAGGTATGGCTGTGATATGTTCATAAAACTTTTCCTCACAACATATGGCAAGATATTGATGATAGTAAGTAGGTAAAAGTAGGTAAGTAGGTAACAAGGAAGTAGTTAACAGGAAGTATGGAACAGGATGTGAACTAATGTGGTTATATGGGAGTTGTTTTTGCTAGCTTAGAATTCCCGGCCAATCTTTATTGCTTATATAAAGTGAACAGCACATAAAACTGTTATTAATTATTGCTTAGCTGATGTAATTGCAACAGGTGATATACTGGGCACAAAACTTGGTCATTGAATCAGATGTGAACTTAGGGAGTAAGCTGAAAAGCACTAAGTTCGTACATGTGTTGCTCAGCAAAAGTATACCTGTTGACTAGCTGATGCTGTATTTAAAGCTGCTTTACTTCCTATATGGCTTTCATGTAAAATTGTGGTATTACAGTGTACTACTTTGATGAATGATAAAACTGTTATGTACTTTAAGTAATATGTCATTGTCTGTTTTGTAGTATCTAGTAAATATAATATGCTGTATCTTATATATATGCATATTTCATTGATTTTATTTACATATTGATTTTTTTCCTTAATCATATTTTCAGTGCAATTTGCTTGATATATCATGCTTGATTGCTCCAGCATGCCAGTTAAAGTGCTTTCCCTTTGCTGCAGCTTATAACCTTATCCATTTTATTTTAGTGCCATGTATTTATCCCAAAAGTGCTTTGTTAATTTCAGCTTTATTTATCGGTATTTTGTACTAATGAATTAGCATTTCCCATCCTTCCCCAAGTGTTGATTTAGGCTAGTGGCTGGAGAGGACAGCTAAGGTGCCAAGGAGCTGGCACCAAGTCTAGCTGCTTGTGGTAAAGATGGCAATATAAAGTGTTTGACATGAAGTGTGGCAATGCCTTATCCTGGTGTGGATGTGTGTGTGTGTGTGACAGTGTTGGATGGAGTTTCTTTATAAAGTTTTTCTTAACGATGGTGCCATGAGTCTGATGTTAGATTTAAAATGTTATAGTCAAATGAGGTTGTTAAAAGTGCTGCATGACATTTGCAAGTCTTGAACAGTGGAAGTGTGTTAGGTGTGACTTTGTTTTGGTTGTGACAAGTGTGTTGGTTCTGCTAAGTGTGTTAGGTGTGACAGGTGTTGTTTATATGGAGAGTGAGAGTGTTGATTGTGACAATTGTGTCAGGTGAGAAGGTATAGTTCACAATTACTGAAGACAATTGTTTCTACAGGGAGGCGGTGTAAGATTTGTACGCCAGAACTGCAGTGTGACACAAACGAAGCGCGGCTGGGGCCTCATCAGCCCAGGACGTCTGACTCACCTACACGAGGGACTTACTGTTACCAAGGGAACCAGATATATCATGATCTCTTTTGTGGATCCTTAATACTGGCTCTAGATAATTCATATTCAGGGTAGCTTTCACATTTCATAGTCAGGGTAGCTTCTAGGAAAATAATTAGGACTTAGTAAAATAGCTGAATGCCTTGATTTATATTTCATATCATTATTTATAGCAAAATGAAATATAGTAAGTAAAGTATATATATTGATAATACAGTGTTTTCTGTATGGGTTACAGGTTTTCTCACTGTCTTTTTTCTTTGTGGTGTACAAACTTCTTGTAAACTTTACTGCCCGCCGTAGATATTTTATTGTGCAAGGCAATCAGCTTCTAAATCAAGGGTTATTGGTAGAAAAGACACAAAAGAGATCTGTCAAGTTGTAGGATTTCAAAGACTCCGTGCCAGAGAAATCTGACTTCAAGACGAGAAGAGTCCCCAACTACATCGGAGAACTTTGAAATGTACACTTGAGATTTCTTCACTATTTGCAGCAATATGCCGCAATTGCTTAGGAAGCATATGTGTATTTAATAATCCATGCTAGTATTTATACAGCATGTATTTATGATATAGATATTTCTGTGTTCTATGATACTAATGTATAAAAGTTTCCATGGCATACAGAAGAGAGATGATACCATTCCAAAACAGTAAATAGATGCAATCTGTATGGGTTGTGCCTTACAAGCGTGCTATTTAAAAGTGCTATTGGAGTGAAAGTGTACCTGTATTAGATATGACATCTTGACATTTTTTACAGCATCTTGTGTGAGATGTACCGAAGGGTGTCATATTCCACTTTGATTGTGTTAGTTGTGCCTTTAGATTGCAGTTATACTATATTGTGTTAGGTGTGAGAACTCAGCACATTGTATTTCAGTGAATTATCCTAGAAGACTGAAGAATTGCTATTTGTAAGACAGCCCAACATTAAGTTATAGTGTAAGTTACATCAACATTGTGTAAGGTGAGGTGAGAGAACACAATCCAAGCACAGCACAACAAACACAATTGAAGCAATTTAACCCAACCGTCTCCCTCCTTCTCTAATTCAGGGTGGAGGCAGCAATTTTATACGACAAAATTGTGCAGTATCGGACACAAAACGAGGATGGGCTATATTACACCCTGGCCGTCTAACGCATTACCATGAAGGCCTGACAACGACCAGCGGAACACGATATATCATGATTTCATTTGTCGACCCTTAGAGCCTTGTCCCTTGTTGGGTAATGGGCAGGTCGGAAGAATTGCATCATTGACATTAAGTGAATCAAAATAATCCTAGGACCCAGATTGAGTCATCTAACAGATTTTAGCTTCTTTTAGGACTGGGCCCCATTTTTGTATTTATTTTATTTTATTTTATTTTATTTATTTATTTATTTATTTATTTATTTATTTATTTATTTATTTATTTATTGTGAAAATACTGAGTACTAAATTAGAACTGCTTTTTCAGTTTAACACAATCTCACTTTTCTGTATAATCCAAAAGACACGCTGAGAAATAATTATCTCATTGGGGATTTTTGTTTTCTTTTTGGTTTAATCAAAGATGCTTCAATCTTGATCTCACTCTTCTTACACTGCCCTGTGTCTTCTAACCCACCTCCACCTACGTCAGTGGACGAGAGATAAAACTACACACCATGTGTGTCATATTTACACACACTATGTGTGCTTCTACACATTATATCTGCATTGGCATGGAACAGAACTAACTCAATTCAGATAGAATCTAATGAATCAAAACCTTAATTTTGATACCAATAGAATATTTTTAACTTTAAGAACCAAAAAAAAAAAGAAAAAAACTTTTTTACTTGACAGACTTCATTGCACAAAATGTTTGGAAATCATCCCTTCAAGACTCATGTTTTGTCAAGATGTTAACAACAAATAACACATTCAGTTACCATTTGTCTATTGATATCATACCTTTTTACCTCCATGCCAATGTACACTGATATAATGTGATATAGTACTGTATTCAGTACTTCGCTCTGTGTTAACTATCTACATACACGGAGTCTGGTGGTGGTGGTTTATTATTTCTATTCTTTACTGGGATCTGCTTTAATATTTATGCACATTTGCTGCTTCATATAACCACATGATATGTAAATACAATTTTTATGGTCTTATGCTTTATGTTTCTCTGCTAACATTTGATGTTACTGCTGTCAGAAAATGGGAATAGAAACGTCCATGTGTGATGCAATTCTTCTGATGTGCTACTTAATGTATTGTTTGTTATATTCCAAGTTGCCATGGAAACACTGCAGTTTGTCTCAAAGATTTTAATCAGGCCACAATGACATCTCTTGATACACCTACAGTGTTCAATTAGATGATAGAATGTACTGTTTTAACTCTAATTTTGTTAGAAAAGAAAACATTACAGATGCAATTCTTTCCAGTATTTTGTGGTGAATGTAATATTTTGAATTTTTGGACAGAAAAAGTGAGACTCAACTGGGTGTTATTGACAGATTTACAAATAATCTTGAATAAGGTATTTGTTAATTAAGTGTATCATTAAAAACATTTTTTAAGTTAGTGAGAAATCTGTGTCCAGAAATAGTGTCACAACTAACACATTGCAACACGTTGTCACAACTAACACATTGCTACATTGAGCACCTTATCACATCTAACGCAATCTACTTCACATCCAAATACAATCAGCTTTGTTTGGCTGTGTCATAGTTAGCAATAAGAGTTTAACATTACAGGGTTCAACTGACATACAGCAGTGTTACATTTTATGTCAAAAAAAGCTCCATTTTTCAATGATGAAAGTCTGGATTAGAAGTGTACCAGAAAAATTTTAAAAAGTGCATTTATATATTACTCTGCTATGCAATTACTTTCTATTTTCCTGGGGAAAATATTGATATATTAATACTCAAAAAGGGGAAAAAAACAGAAATTGAAGATATCATGAAGAAGTGAACTTTTTTTTATGGTAGCTCATTTTTTAGTATCAAAAGTTTTTAATCTTTATTTTGTAGAAACTTCTCCTAGAACTGTTATACAAATCTAAAATATTTTCACTATTAACTTTAAATTATTTGAGGACGGTTAAGTTTAGAATCTCATTCTTTGTCTGGGCATTTATGTAATCAAAACCTTGCCTAACTGTGCTTTTAATTAATGATAATTCTATGCAAGATAATCTACTTGTTTTTCTTTGTCTTTGTAGCACTTAGAGCATATTATGAAAACAGTACTCCATGCATTGAGCAAAAATTTGAAAGTCAATGTTTTCAGTCACATTTTTGTATCCCATTGTGTATGAAATTGTTAATAAGCTTCAAATGAAATCATTTCATTGAAATTAGGTCACAGGAAATGCCCACAGATAGGTAAATATACAAGTCGAAGTGATTTATATATTTTATAGACATTCTCCCTTCTTTTATGGGAAAACTTTCACATAATTTATTTCATCTATGTTGCGCTGTTGGTAAGCAGGATCAAGTGGTTGTCGTTTGCCAAGTTAAATGCTTTTCTTTTGGTACACCAACTTAAATTAGCAGAAAATGATTTTCTTGTGTTTGAAAGTGTCTATTGTAAACAAATTTTATATCTTAATGCTAAAAGAATGTTTCATTTGGAATAGTACCATAGAAATAGTATACCTTATGTATCAGAGAACTGGTAAAGAAGGCATGCTAACCTGTAGAACATGAAACTTTCTTTAAGTATTATCACAGAAACTCTGGTGTGTTTGACAGTTTTGAATGATGAAAAGCAACAGGGAATTTTGGTGCTATGTACAGAAGTTCTAACATGGGTAGAAGTGTCCATTTTGCATAATACTTTGGCTTTGTGAAATAGTATATTGTTGTATCAGTAGACCTTGGTAGTTTTGTATGGTTACAGCTTTACCAATACCAAGTTAAAATTACCCCAACATAGTAAAATTGATATTGCTAAAAATTTTCTGAAAGGGAAGTAACAGTTTCATTGGAAACCACATCTTTTAAAATGTTTGTAGACCTAAAATGTTGTATTTAAAAATAGGATAAAAAATCCAGTTTTTGTGCCTGTTCTAAACTCAGTATAGACACCACTGGTAGTTATATGTTACTGTTATTACTAGTCAATTTGTTTTCTGTATTAAACATGCAATATTAAAGTAGTCCTTGTACTACCATTCTTCAGCATTGACTGATATTGTTATAGTTTGATAGTCCAGTTTTGTAAGAATTTATGGATTTGCAGACCTAAACTGACACTGGTGAGAATGACTGAACTTGTACAGCTATAAAAACTTCCACTTTGTACTCTACAATCTTCCTGTTTGCACTCCAGAAGATAATTATTTATTTTTGAGATATGTGAAAATTTAGTGACGTTTCTTGCAGCAAAAGCGATCAACTGATTACGGAATTTAAATGCAGGAGTACTTTCAGTGGTCCAAGCTGACTGGGATTTGGGAAATAAAAGAAAATAAAATGTTTACCTCTTTTGTATTTTTAAAGATACTTTTTTATGTGTATGTTTTATATCAGAGACATTGGCATTAACATGGGGACATCTACTCCTGTTAAAAGCATCTGCTCGGGAATTAATCCATCGCACATCTTCCACCGGATGTCAACTGTTATGTTTCTCTTACTTCCATTGGCAGTCCACACTCAAAGGTGAAAAATAACAGTCAATGCCGATCTTTATCTTCAAACCAAATGCCACTCTATTTCAATAATTTTATTGTAAAACGTCTTCTGATAACCATACATTATTTCCACTTATTATTTCCACTTCTCAGTAGGCCGTAAAAATTTGTTAAATACTACACTGGTTTTACATTTATTCACAATTTTTTCTACTCAAACTATCCCTCGACGTATACACATTGGATAAAAACACGTGACAAATCCCAATTTTGACTGCAAGAGCTGGTAGATTTAGCTGGCAGAGAGCAATGTGACGTCAGATCCCTAGCACAAATTGACATCGTACGCTAATGGGTGTACGACGTCACAAAAGTTTACATTGTCTTAGAACGTGCGCTAGTCTATATAAAGTGAAACGGGGAAGGGAAAATAGATCAAGAAACTGGACAAGGTTTGGAGACAGTACTATTGCGAACAGCTTAAGAGCACAGATAGTGACGTCACAGATTCAGTCTAGGCGGCGCCACTATGCCGCAGGTGGATTTGGCGCCGCGCCAGCAGCAGGTGCCGCCGGCGCACCTGCCGGATTTTGAATTGGTATCGAGGCCGCCCTCTTCCTTATGGCTGCCGGGTCTTCCCATATACAGTTCACGGATTTAATATCAAATGGAGCGTATCCAAATAAATCGAAATCTAGAGAATAAAGTTCATTTAAGGCTTCGAGTTGATTGCAAGTAATGTTCTGTGAAAACCAGATAGGAACCTCGCTGGCAGTGCGCCTTTTTAAATCATCAGGGTAAACTATGCGCTGCTTGACGCCAAGTTTTCTTGTGATAAAAGCGATGTCGCGGTCCATGGTCTCGGCTTGACCAATCACGTCAAAGTGGGCGGTGCAAGGCCAGCACTGCCTCCACATGGGCAGCCAATGAGCGTCCAAATTGTGGTTGATTTGCCACTCCCCCCTGCGCGTGCGGATGTCGTGATCAATGACGTATTGTACGAAGGTCGGGAAAGGTAATTTGATCGGCTCCGTGATCATTTTGATATTTTTAGGGGGTGGTTCCCATCCGTACCTCTCACAAATCTGACGATACAAGTTCACAGTGTTTACTTTCATGCTGAAATCTTCGTAACCACTGGCAACAAACAACATTTTATAAAACGACAGGAGCCGCTCAAACGGGTGCCTGGCTATGATCATGCGCGTGTAATTGCTTAGAATTCTCGCTGCTTCCTCGTCGGTTTTTTCAGTGAGTCTGGAGAACTCAACCTTGGTGTTCTTCCAGGTTTGATCAGGGCTCATGTCCTGAAGGTCGATGACGTCCTTCTTAGCTGCCTCGGTATCGTTCTTCAGCGCATGTGCTAAAAGAAATGTCCGCTTCACATTTGTGGAGCCAGCCTTAGGGATTTGGCAGTAAAGAACGTTGAAGACGTCGTCGACTACGAACTGGATGGGCAAAATCAATCCTTCCGGTTCTCGCAGTTTTGACATTAGCTTGGATGTTCCTTCAGCCAAACCTTGCATCTCGCACACTTTCTCCATCCTCCGGACCCGACGTGCGTTAGCGGCCGCTCCTTGGGCTATCTCGTCTGAAATCAATATAATAAATTACAATAAGTAAATTTCCCTAATGAAAAAAAAAATTATGAGAATTTTAAGCTCTGCTCTTTGTTATGTCTTTGTAAACAAAATTAGAATATTTCGCTATGAAATGGTTGTGAAAGTTTTGAATTGAAATTGATCTAGGATGTTTGCATTTAAATTGCAGTAGTTGTAATAAAACATTGGACTTTAAAGAACATATGCAGTAGCTGGTCATGGGGAAATCTGGGGAAATGGCAAGGACTTTGGTTCGAATCAAAGGAAATCCAAAATCAGATCTCGAAGAAGCGTGACTTAACAGCGTTCTGATTGAAGGAAGAGGACGAAGTTGACATATAGTGGCAATTAAAGTGATATGCAAGGATGGAAGCAGGGGTCACGTTGGATTAAGTCACGTCTTAAATGCTCCAGATTTATATTGTAGCACTAGAATATGCCAATTCACGCCAAAAATAAATAAATAAATAAATAAAGCCATCTTTACCTTAAAGCACTCACACCCCCCATACTTACCCTCTCCCACCCATACAATGAGAAAACAAGGCCAGTAACGTGATGAACATCCCGCCATACTTACCCTCTCCCCCCATACTATGAGAAAACAAGGCCAGTAACGTGATGAAGAGGACAGACACGGCCAGGATCCGCACAAGGTAACGAACTCCTGGTGGTATACGGCGGAATATCGATTTCACACGCATTCTGAAAAATGAAAAGAATAAAAAGAGTAAGATTTAAGATTATGGCAATGACAACATTTTTGGTTGAAACGTTGAAGGCATTCCGAAAGAAAATGAAAAAGGTTATCATAAAGGATGAAAGTGGAGACGGGCACAAGGTGACACATATACCAGTACATTTAGCACACAAGGAACCAAACAAATCGGCAAATGAATTTTATGTAAAAAAAAAATAAAATTTTTATTTGGATGTAAATTTAAGTGAAATGAATACCCAGGAATCTGAAAGAAACGTGGATCGTTACAGACGGAGTTTCAAGACCGGTGAGACAGGAATGGTAGTCCTAGGAATGGAAGTCCGGGTTCCCATATGAATAGTAGAGGGTAGGGTTATTTGGGAGTATTGGGATTAGTATATGGGACGAATGCCGCTTATACAAAGTACCGGGAACGGACTACATTTATAGCGGAGGACCATTTCTGTCACACCGGCTTAACTTATATATTTTAACGAAGTGTTTTTGTCCACTTTTTGATTAACAGTTGAAAGTTCCCACTTGGCAGACGGGGCGTCATACCAGCCTCTCTTAAAATAGAGCTGTATATCATTTATCAAAACAATTTAATAAAAGGTGTATGAAAAGTAGATATACTCATAAATTATTTGATCAGTTAATTTATCACGTATTTCTGACTGCACAATTCTGATAATTAACCAGGAACACAGCTGAACACAGTTAAAACATCTCCACATGCACAGCAAGACAGCCAAACTTTGTACATTTATAAATAATAATCAACAAGATACGTTGTGAAGGCGGGTTACCTCTGGCTTTGTAAATACGATGTCTTGCTTTTAGACAAAATTACAGAAAATGCCATGATACTACATTTTTATGCAATAATTTACGAACAGAAAAATCCCCTCTACAGATGATATTAAAGTCGTTTTAAAAGCCTTTAAATGACCAACAATATTAAACGATCGATATGATTAAAATTGAATGAGGACGCATTAACGTCAGCTTTCATACATGTGTAGCATTAGCCGCGGCAAATGAAAGCTACATATTTAACTGATAATTAAGTCACTCATACCAAATGGTTACGGCATCTATTGAAAATTCCGTCCTATCATATTGGCAAAGTCAAAGGGGGTGGTGTGTTGATTTGACGCGTTCCCTTCTCTTTTAGTTTCTGTGACCATGACTGTTATAATAATAAATAACGCACTCTGGACCTGTCTATTAAATGCACGTTGGCAAAAATAAAAACATTTAAAAGTTACAATTCATATGATTATTCCCCAAACCATACCATATTACTAAAATCTTGACGTCACCAGCAATAATTTCCAACTTACCCACCATTACTGTATAGTTCCTGACATAGAAATATTTAATAAATATGCGGTCTTCCGACCTCCTTTTTCTTTAGTGCACGCGTAACATGCATGGCATCCATGTATTCTTGCAATAATGCTGCATTTTTAGTGGGGGTGGTGATCTTTGTTTAAACATTTAGGCCTAAACGCCTTTAATATGTACTCTTCTGCTGACGTAAAAGAATATATTATAAAATTTTGGATAACAAAATACCAGCGCGACTCCATTTTAACTCACCTCTTTTTGGCTATTAATACGTTTTACCNCAATAATGCTGCTTTTTAGTGGGGGTGGTGATCTTTGTTTAAACATTTAGGCCTAAACGCCTTTAATATGTACTCTTCTGCTGACGTAAAAGATTATATTATAAAATTTTGGATAACAAAATACCAGCGCGACTCCATTTTAACTCACCTCTTTTTGGCTATTAATACGTTTTACATGGATTGATCATTGGGACCTTAAACTTGATTTGATCAACAGCACAGCGATTCACAAAAAAAAATCGAATTATACTAAACTGACTAGATACGTATTAACGATGTCAAGATGACTGAGTTTTACTTGACAAATATGAACGACTTTTCTGCTCAATCATAATATGATAGACCCAGGTTGCAAAGCGGAATTGTGGAATTCATTTAACTATAAACGTTAGATTTATCAGTGTCTAGGTATCCATTCTATTATCTTATTTAAATACAAGTGAAAATGCTTTTTATGATACTCCAAAAATTGTATAAAATTTCAGGCTACTAGTTTTATTTATGATTCCCTTACCGCGTCGTGATAGCAACTGTCTGCCTGTCAAACGGACTGTAAATGCCCATGCTATATTAAGGTATTATTTAAGGCTATTTTCACCGCTACATATGTGCCGATAAATGACTTTAAAACTAAATTTTAAGTGCAAAATGGTGTAAAAAATCAGGTATCATATTTTGTATGGACAGTTATTTCAACTCCTTCAAAGAAAACATATTTTTAGAGGTACGCAATTCCTAAAAACGCATTTGAAAAGGCCAATTCTAGTCCAAACCTTTTCGAAGAGTACCCTTTCTTGTCTTCAGTAATTTACCTCTGTTTACTTGGGCATTTCTCGACATCAAAAGCGTCAGATAAAGCTTCCGAATGGAGCGCACCATGTAACAGAATGTTGCCACGTGTCGCTCGGTAACGGCCCACGTTCATTTTTTTCTATCGCGACGCAGTACCCACCACGCCTTGGGTTAATCCACCGCGGACAAGAAACGACCCTGAACTGAATCTCTAGAATCACCCTGCTTACCTCATACAGCGGGATGAAGGCGGCCAAAACGACAGCGACCTGTATGGAAGAAGACGACTGAAGACAGCGGATTACCTTCAGCAGCATCCAATGTCACTGCTTGTTACAACGCCAAACTTTCAACCAGTATGAGTTTAAATTATTCAGCGCGGCGAACGCTTACTACAGCGAAACAGCGCGCGGCGTTCTGATTGGCCGTTAATACTTGACTTTTGAAATATTTAGCTCGTTGACGCTGCTGAATATTTGTAGCTTCAGAGCTGTCGACATGTGTTTCAGTGGTAGATGAACATACTGCCGTGCACATGACTTAATTTGATACCCGTATAGACGGAGGTACTGGTATACACTTGAAAAAGAGGTACAATGGTTTGAAATTTTATGCCGACGTGTCAAAATTACCTGCTTAAATCAAACAATTTCTGTTTTCCTGCAGAGGTGCGGCTGGTACAGACAAGAAGTCCAATCTAAACGTATATTAGACCAGGAATTTTATGCAATTACCTATTTCACTCCTCGAAAACGCCCTTTTAAAGTGACAGTAGGCTACAAATGCCCGCCGACCGCAAACTGCGACGAGCACATGTAGGTTTTAGTTGTTATTGTAGAATACCGACTTTAAAACCGTATGTTCTGTAAATCAGAATTCATACTATGGCTATATGCCATCAATTGGCCTTTTCTTAAATCATATGAAAATGATAATACTTAAAGGAAATTAAAAACAACAAGACAGCAAAGCTGGAAAAAAGTCACTCACTTTACCATAAAAGGCACTCAACAAATTTGAAGTAAAACAAAATCACAGTTTGACACTACGGGGCGAACGTCACCAAAATACTGCAAAATAAAATGCAAAGAAAAAACATAACTTTTTTTAAAATTATCCGATCGCGCCGATTTCAGAAAGGATTTCTGAAAGAAACAAAACCCATTATAAAACAAAAGTGGGGATTGGCAGTTTATATTTACATTGATAGATCATAAAAATAATTTAATTTATTCGGACAATTAACCCTTTACAGCGGCAGTTATAGGGTGAGTTTTTTTTCAAGCAGAAGACGGCATACGATATGTACAATGGTCAGAATATAATGCGATACATTCAATGTCTTTGTATAAAAACTCTTTTATAAACTGTTCTCATTTATTATATTGCTTGAAAGTGAGTTTCATCGTAAATCGAGTGCCATTACTCATACCTTTAAAGGTTTACTGTGCTTGCTTGAAAATATCCCCACTTCCCAAAGTCTGCCTACATTATTGAATTCTGCAAAGCTACAAATCTTTCCAAATTCAGATCTTAAACGCAATAAACCATTTAAATAAAAGTACGTTGCGTCAAAAGATCCCAATGGATTGTACTGGAAAGCATGGCTGTTCTTAGAATCTAAATGACTGGCCAGTCATTAAGAATTGAACTATAAAATTGTAAATGGAGTTAAACATAGAATCCAAGTGCAGAGAATGTTCGAGCAATAATTCGCGAGTAGGAGAAAAGTTGTTTTTTTTTCGAGGAAAAGTCAAAAAGTCATAATGATGAGTAAACTACCAATATATAATTTCAAGTGACGAAATTTGACTTAGATCTAGACAAAATTTTTAAATAAATATCGTTTAATTATTAAAAAGATGCCTTTCTTTCAATATTATTTTAATGTTCATTTCTCTAAGACTTTTTAGTTCTACCGGCCCAAAAGTGAAACTGAATATTTCTCTTCAATATCAATAGATGGCGCAACAGACTATATCGGGACTTGTCTCGTCTTGGTTCCATTTGATTGGCTCTCATTGGCCAATCAGTGGCCGAGATTCCGCTGGAACAACATGGCGGCAAGAAAAAAGGGAATCGATCGATAAAGCGATTCCATTCTCGTTTGGAGTTCATGTATTCGGAAGAGAGACTGAGATATAGACTTGGCTTTTTGTGAATAATCAGGTAAGCAGAATCAGTCTCTCTCTCTCTCCCTCTTTCTCTCTCTCTCTCTCTCTTTCTCTCTCTCATTTACACAGTCGCACTCACACGTCTACATGCACACACACAGGCAGTGACACACAACGCACACTCTTTAAAACATTACAGTGATAATTGCATTGCTCTTTATGTTATTATCCTAATATTTTCCTAATATCCAATTTAATAAAATAGCAAATGGAATTGTTGTCCGTTCGTTCAGAAGCGTAATGTAGCCTTCGTAGAAAAGGGTCGAGGGAAGTGATGGGGGGAAGTGGCAGTGACAGTGTTATGACACGCTCGTGTGTTCATGTTACGACAAGCAAGAGAAAGAAACATGGGGGCGAATTCAGGCGTTGCATGTGGCTGAATTTAGCCAAGGGTTCAATGTACTGTAAGTTGAGGTACAGGTATTCCTGGCACTTATCCCGTCAGAAAGAAGTAAACCAAAGGTGTATCTTTTACTGACATTTGCTCGGGTTCACTTGTCAGTTCAACTTGAAGGAATGGGGAAAATAAACTGCAACAACTGTTTCCTCATTTGAACCACTCGGCTGGTACAGAAACCACCCTGGCAAATGCAAGTGTAGACTTTGCAGAAAAGGAAGCAATTCACTACCATTTTCTAATTGTGTAGTTGATGTTATCTGTGTGTGTGTATGTTTGTGTGTGTTTGTGTGTGCGTGCACGCATGTATGTGTGTGTTTGAGAGGAGATGAAGATGGAGGAGGGGCAATCTGCATCCCCCTTCACTGCGCAAAAGAGGTTGCATTTTGGCGAATTTTGTACTGCTGAGTACAGGGACTATTCAGTGATTGGTTGCAATGTGCATTCCCTCTTTATTCTAAGGATCATGCAGCTGAATGGCCTAATGTTTTTTACCCTTCCCCCCCCCCAAAAAAAAAAAAAAAATCAAAAAAGCAGATTCTCCAATAAATTAGTACCACTCTGTATCTGTTCTGGCAGCTAGTGCCAGCGGGAGAATGGTGTCAAGTGTTGTGAAATAGCACCCCAGGCAGCCAAACATAATTACAATCAGCACTCTGAGCTGGTAATGCACTGATGCAAAATTCAATATCTCATAAGACAGCATTCAGATTCACACATTGTACTAGCTGGGTCGATCCAACTCTGTGGAGGGATTTCTGGCTAAAGTGCCACCAATGGAATTGGCTACAGTAATTGTCTGATAGGCCTCCTTAGCAACTAGGCTGTAATTAACTATTGTGTGCTGATTAAGCCGACTCCACTGATTGCACTTTTGAATCTGAATGCACCCTTAAACCTACTAGTAAGCTAGTGTGGAGCAAGGAGGAAGCCTTCTATAATGGAGATCTATTGTCATTTGTAAGGCACATTTCTAGTCAAGTCGTGACAGAATATCTCAGGCCTGTCCTATCATGGCTTATTGTGATGGAGATCTGATATCATCTGTAAGGCGCATTTCTTGTTAAGATGTGACAGATTATGCAGTACTTGGATACTCAGAGTATGGTAGCCTGATATGACAGACTAGCATAGTTCTCCCATTGTACGGTGTATTTCTAGTCTATATGTGACACTCTAGTTCAGTTCCTAGTGTTTTCTGCAGGCAGGATGATGATTTACAGTCTAAACTCTCTGTTGTCCCACCCACTTATTGTAATTGATGGAAGTCCCATGCGACCAGACAGGCTTGCTATGTGTAGTGAAATCTTAATTACATATTGAAATGCATTGGGTATACTGCATACCCTTTTAACAGCCAGTATTCATCTGCATTTAATTTGATGCAACATTATATATAACTTAACTTAACACCAATAGGGCAATAAAAAAAAAGTGACATAACCAGTTTTTATTCTCCATGATTTTTTGAATAAAAGTTTCAGCCACAGGGGCAGATGCAGGATATTTTCAGACAGTTTTCCAAATTATCCTATGTTAATCCATCCTCCATTTTTGACCCTCTTCTAACAGAAAATAATTATACGTCGTCCATCATATTAACTTAAAAATTATAACCATCTTTCAGAAGACCCAGAAGATGGCTTCCTCCCCCCCCCCCGGATCTGACCTCGTGAATCCAGCTTGTGGCTTCTCAGGGCTTAAGTTCCCATTGACACCATAGCCAGATGTCATCTCCACACCCGGGGATCAATACTCTATTGATCTCCTCATGGCCATAGCCTTTTAATTGTCTGACACCTTGATTATTAGGGGAGAGCCAGAGGGAAATATTGATCTCTCTTGTTGAACTGTTTGTGAAGTACATTGTATGCTGGGGACTTTGCAAATACAGGTTAATTGTAGAAAAATAAACGATTTAAGTTATGAAAATATTTCTTGGGTTCACTTCCCAGTCCTTGTTTTCTTTCCAACTTTCAAAACTGGGACTGAAGTCTACGAGGGTCATATGCAAGATCAATATTTCTTCAGTATCTCCCCAAGCTGTTTGTTTGACACACAATCAAAAACATGTCGGGTCATATTTAGATCAATAAAGTTGCTGCCCCCTCCTCCTTTCCCCACCTAGCAGAGTGAGAAAGTGAATTGAAAAAGGAGTAATAAAAAAGTTACATTAAAGGAGGGGGGGGGGACTTGTGAAGGGGGGGCTGAATTTATTGATTTGAATTCAGCCCACGTTTAATTGCATGGTCGCTAGTTAAGATAATACTCAGTTGTAGAATATGTTATGTGAAGTTCTGTGTTGCGGTGTTTCTGAAGCTTTATCAGAAAAATTACTTCACATATCGATTGACCAACAGTCAAGGCAGAAATTAGCAAGCAGAATAAATTCTTATGAGAACTTGGGCTCTCAGGGTGCAGATTTAAAGATTAATGATTTATCAAAACTGATCTTTTCTGCCCAGCATTAGCCAGAATACTATATTTCCAGAGCTGAAGGTGTCCTACTGCTTTTATACTCCGAAACTATTAGTAAAATACTAAAATCAGCTTTTAGAAATATTTTATAAAATAATTTGATATTGACTGGGACCTAGCATCAGGCATTTCCTGTTGGTAAAATACAAAAATAACTTTTAAAATGGGCAAAAATGGTCAGATTAATTAATATCAGGTACTAGTACATAATTTTATATAGCATTTTTGTGCTTTTACTGGATGGAATAGAACTATAGAGTGGTCTGCTTTAATTTTTGTTGCTACCACTCAATAG